AAAAAAAAAAGAATAATAGTTTGTGAAACATTAAAGTTACATGAAATTCAAACATTGGTGTCTGTGACTAGTGTCACTGGAGCATTGCCTTGGGTGTTCCCTGAGGCTGGCTTTGTGCTGCAACGCCAGTGCTGAGGTCGGCCTTTGTCCTCAGCACCTAAAATGACAAATTGTTTTTATCGACACCCTTTTCGTGTGTGTGTAGAAAGCTTGATGCAGGGGCCGTGAGTCAGCAGGCAGTACGACGACACCGTGTGGCTCTGGGGGACAAGGCCACTTGGTTTCAGAGCTGGGAAGGGCCGTGCATCTAGTGCCGCCTTAGACCCACCTGGGGACTTAAAGAGCCCTTGGCTCAAGGCGGGGCGGCGCGGAGTCTCTGAGGAAGGGCTCGAGGGCGGCACTGACACCGGGGCTTGTGAGAAGTGCACACGCTCGGCCCACCCTGCCCTCTGGGGACCCCAGCCTGTTCCCCCGGAGCGAGGTCGGGGGGTGACTGGGCTCTCGAGCTCCGTAACGCCCACCCGAGGCTGACCCTCACTGTCCCTCCGGGGCTAGGGCCCTCTCTGCCCTCCTCGGGGCTCCTGCCCCCCGTCCTGCAGATGCCGGTGACAGCTGTGGCAGCCTGAGCCAGAGGCACCCGGCACTCGCACTCGGATTTCTCTGCCTTGAAGCGGTGTTTGTTGTTTTCAGCCTCTGCAGTCGGGGTAACTTGTTATTCAACAGTAGGTAACGGTGTACCTGCTGCTTCTGCCTTGTGTACTTGCTGACTGGCATATTCTTTTGCTAACTAACTAAAACCATCCCCTGGAGTTCTCTCATGTCCCAGGTTACACACAACCCACCCGGTTCTCTTCCGGCGGCTCTGACTCAGGGTCCCCTTGGCCTGAGTGCCACTCCTCTCCGGCATGGTGTAATAGCAGCGCGGGGGGAGGGGCGTGTGGCCTCCTAAGTGAGCAGCCCCCTGCGTCCCCTGGGCGCCGTCCGCCTGCCCCTGTCGGGGCCCCTGGGCGTGGCCGTGCCCCGGTGCAGGTCCCGGACTCACCTAAGCAGCGTCTGGACCCTCCCGGTCAGCCTGGAGAAGGCCACGCCCAGCTCGGTGAGCTGGCCCATCTGGCTGAGCTCCCCGGCGATGGAGGCGAGAAGGGGGTCCTCCCCGCCGGGAGTCGAGGCGCAGGCTGGAGGGGTGTCGAAGGCCTTGGTGGGCAGGGTGAGCGAGGCCAGCTGGGGCAGGCCCACCCGCAGCAGGTCGCGCACGTGGCCGGCGTGCAGACGCACGTTGTGCACCACGGCGAGCTTCCGCAGCGCGCCCGGCCCCGCCAGGCGCAGCACCTGCAGGAGCTGGCTGGGGCTCAGGCTGTCGGCACGGAGGGAGGGGCAGCGCACCCGCAGAGGGGCCTGGCCCGCCGGCCTCAGGGCCTGCACCACCGCAGCAAAGTTGCCCTCGGTGACAAAGAGGTCGGCGAGGACCTCGATGGGGGGCCCGGCCCCGAGGGGCTCCTCCTGCAGCGCGCAGCAGGTCTTGGCCAGCAGCTGGGTGCGGCCCCACTTGCCCAGCGCCCTCCTGCAGGGGCACCGCTGCACCTGCACGTCACGGATGCCGGTGAGGTCGGCCAGCCGCAGCCGCCGGGGGCTCCCTCCCTGCAGCACGTGGTCCGCCAGGCCTCGCACGCAGGCCTCCAGGCAGGCCCGGCAGGCCCGGTCACGCAGGTCCTCGGGGTGGTCGCTGCTCGGCTCTAGCAGTGCGCCCAGCCGGAACTCCTCCGTGGGCCAGCGCCCCAGCACGGCGCGGACCACCTCCACCTGCTCCTGCAGGTAGCTGGCTTTGAACAGCAGTGGGTAGAGGTTGTGGGCCATGCCATCCAGGCTCTGCAGGGCCAGCTGCGGGTGGGACACCAGGGCTGCTGCGGCAGTGAAGCGGAGCGACCTCATCGTGCCCGCAGGACGGGGCTTTTCCCGAGGCCTGTGCCCTTCATGCCCGTTTTTAGCCTCAGCAGCTGCCAGCAGATCACCACTGGGCAGACAGTGGCTGGCCGGTCGCGATGGTCATCTGACTGCTATTTTCGTCCTGGACATGTGTTGGGCTATGCCTGCGGAGGCGTCTGTCTGGCCTCGGGGCACCCACAACAGGGCTGGTCAGAGAGGCCCGTGCCGGAGCTGCAGGAAGCCCGTGTGGGTGGGCGCCTGCCGGGGAGGCCAGGGGCCGAGGCCCGCAGGTGGTCCGATCTCCACCCGTGTCTGCTGCCTGGGCCCTGGGCCTGTCCCACACCAGAGCAGAGGATGCAGTCAGGCCCCTGAGCCACATGTCCATGGCGGCCTTTGGCAGCTGGTCCCTCCCTTGGCCTCGCATCTGGGAGTGAGTCATCGGGCCAGGGATGGGGAGGGCATCTTGCACAACTGTTTCCTGATTTTAAGAAGAGACAAGTAATGCCAGCCCCTGGGGGAGCCAGAGTTGCTCTGTCCCCTGTCTGACTTTATTTTCCCACTGTTCTAGCACAGTTTGGTGGGGTAGAGCCTCCTGAGCCCCAGCGTCCTCATCTGCGATCCCTGGACCCACCTGGCAGGTGACGCTGTGGTGAACGGAGCACACCTGAGGGGCTGGGGCGCCTCAGTGTTCACTCCAGCCCTGAGGGGTGCGGGGCGGCTGCTGGACCCTACCCCTGGGACCCTACTCTCCCAGCCTTGCTGCCTTTTGGGTCAGAGCCAGCACACGCAGCTCACAGGGCACTGGGTGGGTCACAGGTCTTGGAGGGTCTTGGCCATGAGAGACCAACAGAGAGAGACAGAGACAGAGATAGAGAGACACGGGCAGAGACAGACAGTGGGAGGGCAGGAAGGAGCTGGCTGGGGTGAGCCTGGCTGGTTTTCTGTGGGGCCCACCTAGCCCCACCTTCTGACCCTCCCAGGTCTGTCCCCTCTCAGCCTTAGCAGCACCTCTCCCAGGGAGGCCATTGGTGGGGACAGGATGTGCCCCATGGGGACACTGCCAGGAGGTGGTGGGACTTGGCCCCAACATCACCCTGCAGCCTCGGCCACCCGGGCCATCCAACTCCTGGGCCTCCAACTCCTGGGCCTCCAACTCGTGGGCTCAAGCAATCCTTCCGCCTCAGCCTCCTTAGTAGCTGGGACTACCGGTGTGAGCCACCCTGCCCGGCCAAGGGTGGATATACTTTTTGTATATCCAGTTTTTTTACACTCTTGAGAGTTTATTCAAATTTCCCCAGTTTCACACACACTTCTTTTTTAAAAAATTATTATTATTATTTTTTTTTTTT